AATAACAGACCAGAAGCCATTTAAATAGCCAATCGATGTTTCACTTTAAAAGAAGGGGTGGGCATCACTTTGTCTTTGGCCCCTACCACATGGGTCTTAAGTCTCAACTACGTGGTATACGTTTAGAGATTTATGTGGCCTGTAAGTGGGTTGATAACAATTTGGACCCTAACAATTTTAACCAAAAGTGTAAGACCTGGAATTTTTGGATCAAGCCGTGGACCAAGACAATGGAGAATTGACAAGGGCAATTATTAGTCCAGCCCATAGATGGTACAAAGACACACCTACTACTCCACGAGGCATGAGCTCTCATGTTAAGCTGTATGAAATAACAGAGACCATTTAGTTTGCGTCAAAACGACTCCAACAAAACGATTATAGATTTTATTAGGAAATTAATCCTCCCTAATCCCAATCCACTATATATCTTTGTGTCATTTTTATGTTGGTAGATTCTATGGTACCATAGCGTATCATACCTTTGTTCACATGGAATAATGGGAATGTTGCAGTTGAATTATTTAAATCTAAATTGAAAATGATAATGTGATGTGGTCCAATCAAATGAATGATAGGCACGGTACCCCATTTTTTAAAAGGGTACCGGTGTTGTCACCTTTTATGTTTTCATATAACTACTACTGTACTATGTACATTTTTCTCAATGTCATATTTAACAATATTTGTGGTTCTCATTCATTTGTGTTTTACAAATTAATACTCTGTATAATTTAATTGTTACTCGGTATTAATTAATAGTGGTAGAATCATGACAGCTATTCATATTACAATTTTAGTAAGACGGAGATAGCACACATTTTAACATCAGGGCCGGTTTAGGGTATGGGCAAAGGGACATGTGCCAAGGGCTCATATGTATTTTAAATATATATACATTATATTATTTATATAATTTTAAAATAAAATAAAATATAAAAATTATAATTTTTCAATTCTTTATTCAACATCTACAAGCTACAAGTCTAAAATTTTGTAACATTCATACCATATTAATCATTTCTTTGACTTCATTAAAGGTTGGCAGCGCATAATGATTCATTTATGAAAGAATGGCATAACTATGACTTGTAGACTTAAATATCACTTAAGTGAACTATTCAACCTTTCCGTCTCTCTCAGCTGGACATGTTCAAAGCTTCCGTCTCCTCTCAATCGGACATCTGCGAATGCGGATAATCTTCCAGCCATCAACTATGGCAGCGAAGGAGATGACCAACGACGGAGACTGGAAAACCGGCGATGGCAGCGACTAGGGCAGAGCACAGGTCGGGTTCAAAAATGGTAAACCCGTTCGGGTATCGGATTGATAATTTCAAACCCTACCCGATCAAAAAATTTATCGGGTTTTTCGGGTTGAAGAACGGGTTTTGGTCGGGTTGGTTCGGTTTTCGGGTCCATTCGGATTTTAATATATTATTGTTGAAACTGTGATAAATAAAATGGTAATTGGTAAAAATATCATTCAAAGTTATACTAGTATAACATTCAAAGTAATAGTTGTATAAATACAGTAATCGACATATTTGAACATATAAAATAATAATATACGGTTATTGACAGATTTGATATTGTGATAAATAAAATGATAATTGGTCAAAATATCATTCAAAATCATAACAATACAACATTCAAAGTTATAGTTTTACAAATACAACAATTGAAATATTTGAATATGCATAATATGGTAATTGGCATACAATAATTGAGATATTTGAACATGAATAATAATTCAAAGTAGTATATATACTACCCTAGTTCGGGTTTTCGGGCGGGTCGGGTAGCATAATTGGTAACCCTACCTGCTACCCGCTTAACTCTCGGGTTGCAAAAATCGGATCGGGTTTGGATCATTCGGGTCGGGTTATCCGACCCAAAAAATAAAATCGGATATATCCGATCGGGTCAATCGGGTAGGGTCGGGTTTGCTCTCCCCTAGCAGTGACGGTGAAAGCGGCGACAGTTATGGCCATTGCGCAAAGCATATCTTCTCGACAAAGGAAGCCATAGATGCCACTAGATCTCTTTCCGCGCCACCAATATGTTAATCGATCTTCAATCTTCTTCAGCCACATCTGTTTGGGTGCGACCTCGAGGTGGGCGGACAATGCTGAATAGGATTTATGGGGCAGTGATTATGGTGAGGGGCAGGGGAGGGTGACGAATTGCGACAGGGCCGGGCAGGGGAGGGTGTCGGACAAGATCTGGCGGCTTGGGGCGGTGTGTTGTGGTGGGGGGAAAGGTCACTGTTGGGGTGAAAGTTACCGCAGTCGGCGGTCGGCGGCGGTGATGACAATGGTCAGTGACATTTCTGGCAGGGCGGTGGTTCCATAGTGGCATTGGCATTCATGGCAGTGTCACAGTGTCACCGTGGCAAGTGGCGGCAGTGACATGGGCGGTGGCAGCAGTGACAAGACGACAGTGACATCCGATAATGATATGAAATTGGGCAGTGACATAAATATTTAGCAGTGACATCAATCTTAGTCACATTTTTGTCTAACTAAAAATATGGTCACATTTTTGTAAATTAGCTATAGATTAGTAATATTCAAGGAAAACCCCCTTCATTTATTGTATTTTGCTAATTTTTTTGAATTTTTCGTGTAAGTGAAAGATTGAATTACAATATTTAGAATTTAGAAACTTGCATTTTGTTTTGATATAGTGAAAACATTATAAGAAATATGAAAGCATTACTACTACAAACAATATAACTTTCACGTCTTTCACTACTTCAAAATTCTATATTGGAAGTAATAGTTCTAATGCTTTACTTTACGTAGAATTTTTTTAATAAAAAATATAAACATGCACCATTGTCCGTAAGGCCTACTTTACCAATATTGTCAGGACCGTGTCTGTTTACCATAATCTCCCAAAATTTCTCATTGCAAATAGCAGTAATTAATTATTGTGAAAATGGGTGGAGCAAGAATGTCTATATTGATCAGAGGCCAAAGCTGGAATTTTAGAGTATACACGGAGATGGAAAGGTTTAGTGCCATGGCCCTTTTTCCGGTGTACCTTACCAAAGATATGATGATGATGACCTTACCAAAGAAATGGGTTGCACTTAACCGTTTCAAGCTACGCTTAAGCACTCCATGAAAGATCAATTTTTAAGTCCACTTACGGTTTGTTTAGATGTTAAAATAGATGTCTTAAATAGTGTTGTTTTTAACACTAGTTTCAATGAAAAGTAATAAAAATTTAGAAGTGTTTAGCAAGTGTTGAGAAGAAAAACAATAATACTCTCTGTATGTCAATACCTCACTTTTAACACCCAATTTGGGGTGTTTTTGTTGGACAAAAGAAAACGACTTTCTGCCTCTCACTCACTCTCTTCTTTCAAACATTCCACTTTTAACATATCTATGTAACATATGTGTACGAAGTATATTTTGTGGGTTTCGTTCGATTTCTTCAAACCGATCAACATCAACTGAAACTCAGCTCTATATAATTCAATTTCATACAATTTTATTTAAATGTATTTGTCAATTCCAATAAATAAACTTTAAACATGGTCCATCTTTTCCTTATATAACCGCCTGCACCTTGTGATACTTCTGTAGTTCTGTTATTAACACGTAACAACTCAACCAAGCAAACTGCAAGTCCTCAAAGTAATTTATATGACTTTAAGTGTGCTTTTTTTAGGAACGGAAAGCTACCACCCGGTCCACCCCCCTTCCCAGCTCCAACTTTGATTGGGCCTTTTCTATACGAACCGATCCAACAGGCCTCATCTCATCAACATCTCTCTGATGCAAGTGTTTCCAGGAAAATTCGATCTACAGTTTCTTCTATACTTAGGTTTAAACAATTGTAAACAAATTGCACAATTAGTTAAAGGTAACTACGAATTCATTCCTAGGTTTAGTGATTTAGTCATATGGTATTACTTTGAATTTCTTTAGCTACTTTTTGTAGATAAACTTAAAAAAAATTCATTTTTAGGTGAAGTGAATTATAATGCAGAAAACATGGGGGACAAAAGATAATTAGGTGTAGGGATGTCAAAAAAATCCGACCCGCAATGACCCGCCCTGGCCCGAGGCATTTGGGGCGGGTCCGCCCCGCCCCGTCTTGCAAATGGGGCGGGTACGCCCCGCCCCGCCTATACAATGGGGCGGGTCCGGGTATTAAAATTGACCCATGCCGCCCCGACCCGCCCTGCCCCGACCCGCTCAATATATAAGTATACATAATTTTTCTTAAATTATACTACAAATATACTTCAACATACATATGTGTGTACAATAAATCATAAATTCTTTGATCTTATAATATATGAATATATATTAGAATGAGATGCATGACGGATTATCAATGTCTTCTTTATATATAGAATTTTAATACATATATTCAATTATTAATATAACTAATTAGATTAACTATTCAAGTGTGAGTAATTTTTCCTTAATTTTTTGAAATTTTTTAGCGTATCATGAGTTTGATTTAATATATTGATTTTTAATTATTATTTAGACATAAACATTATGTAGATTCAATTGGTAACAATTTCCCACAAATAAAAATACATACTAGCTAATTAGGTTGCGGCGGGTCATGGGTCAACAAGTTTGGACCCGTGCAGGTCATGGGGCGGGGCGGACCCGCCCCGCCAAGTCACGGGGCGGGTCCGGGTCTTGCAATACCCGCCCCGCCCCGACCCGACCCATTGCCATGTCTAATTAGGTGATTCAGAATTTAAAATGTGTCATATTTGTGTAGTTTGTAGTAGTAGTAGTAGTCTAACAAAACATTCAACTGTTGTTACCTTAAGGCTTGTTTGGTGAGGGGATTTCGGAGATCTGGTTTATATTTTAAAGTTATTTCTAAATTTTCATGGCTGGAAGCAAATGTTAAAAACAATTGAGAAAATACATAGCCTATCAAATCAAACGGCTATTTATTGTCTAAAACTAACAAATAGAGATAAATTTATACAAAAGAAATAATCCGCAACTCCCCTTCTCTTTGAAATTCCGAAAAAAAAACAAGCCCATGTATGAAGAAAATGCACTAATGCATATATTCAAGCGCCTTACTGGGGTCTCTCCAAGGAGAATCAGACAAACTTATCATGAAACCAAACAAAGTAAGCTGGCGTCATATTAGTAGTACATTATTCCAGATTAGAGTTACTAAACTCTTTTTCATTTATAATAGTTGTGCCAAAACCATATGCAACTGATGTATAGATATGGAGTAAGAAACACCTTTATGAAATAAAATGCAACATAGCATATATTCAAGTCCTCCACATATACGCCAGTGTACCTGTATGCTCAGCTACATTTCCCATTCATCATAATGTCCAATAAATGGTTTCCCATCTGATCTAGCCCCACTTGAGTCCTGAAGCAACAAAGGGCCGCCAATCATTCTGTCAAAGATGTGCTCCTCATGAGAGTCAGGCGCTTCTTGAAAATTGATTTGGATTGAATTTGAACTTCCTAAATTCCATGCTTTATGTGATTGCGTACTATATGCACTTCTACCAGAATATAGAGTAGAATGACCAGGCAAAGGGAAACTAGTTAAGATGTCCCCTTCTGAAATATTCAGTACCATAGGAAATAGGAAACTGCACTCTAAGTGACGCTTCTCACTGAAAACTTTGAACGGAGTACTCTGAGGATCATTTACAAAATAGGAAATTGCATTGCCACAATCATCATGGTACAACGAATAAAAGTGCGCAGAATTTAGCTCTTCCCCTGGCAAGGCAGTTGGAGGGAAAGGTGAGGCATGAACATGTAGAGAGTGTTTGGTTGGAGTTGCAATTTGTGAATGTAGTTTGTTCACACAGTTGCTGGCAGTAATTATGCCTAGTTCCGGTTCATCTTTCTCTTTATCTAAATCCCAATCCAGCAACAAGGTTTCTGGTACAATTCTTGAAGATTCATCCTGTAAACAGAAGCTATCCTGTTCTTCATGATGACACCAATCACTATATCTATACCTCTCATGCTTTAAGTGCACAGGTGAATCAATAGGTCTCAACCAGCTTTTGGGTGTTACACTATATGAAGCATTATTGTTATCCACCGCTTCACTGTGCTGAACAGTTCTTGCTTTACATTTTGTAGAAGAACTATATGGACCAAAATCAGACCAGTCCATAATATCACTCAATCCACTAGGCCACCTGGAAAGTTCCCTACTTCCGTATGATTCATACTCTGCTGTGGTTAACTCTGAATTATGTGAAGCGAAAGAAGACCAGCCCATTGCATCTCTTTCTGCACAACCAAATCTGGAAAGTTCCCTACATTGGAATGATTCATATGCTGATGTGGTCAACTCTGAATCATATGAAGCAAAAGCTGACCAATCCATTTTGTCTCTTGTTCCATCAGACCATCTGGAAAGTTCTGTAGATCGGAGCGTTTCATGCTCTGATGTGGTTAACTCTGAAGACCAATCCAGTATGCCTCTTGTTCCACCAGACAATATGGAAAGTTCCCTACATTGGAATGGTTCATACTCTAATTTGTTGAACTCTGAATTGCAACAAGGAAGAGCAGACCAATGCATTACACTTCTTGTTCCACCCCACTGTCTAGAAAGTTCCCTACATTGGAATGATTCACCCTCTGGTGTGGTTGACTCTCTTATGTGACTATGATCATCATGCCTCATCTCAGAGAGATACAGCCCTGTAAGAACAGGTGAGCAACCAGTATCGTCTGTGGCAGTTGAACCCTATCAACGATGCCCAAATCAAATATCAGAAAGGAAAGAGAGCAATGGCCAAATGATGAATGTGCTCCATAATATGAGAAAATAAAAATCATACGTTGCTCTCGTTGCTATTGGGGCAAAGACGACTAAGGAGCACCGCCAACATGTCATACCTGGGATAATTTAAATGAATTAAACTGGTTTAATGACTAGAGAAAAACAATGATTGACTAACATATCATATACACTAGAATTTAAACAAATCATTTGCTCACTCCTTGGAACTGGAGTTTCGAGTCTTTCGACTTCCAGCTAAAGCCATTTCTGCCCACCGGCATAACTTCTGCCTCTTCACAGAAAAAATTTCACTCTCCAAGTATTGGCTGCCTGATGCTCAATTTTAAGTTAATCATGCTTGTATAGCATATGAAAGGGTTAATAAGAAAGTCACACATAAACACAGTATGAACCTGAATGTTTTGAGAGAGCACTTCGGGGGGGTGATAAGTACAAATCTTTGTCTAGGACTTCGACAGTCTTATGATGTGAAAAGCAAGGGTATTTTAAGCTTACTGGACATTCCTGCATTACTAAGCATGAAAATTATCATTAAATAATAATGAAATGAAAACATTAACTAAAGTTCTGACCTCAACAGGGCTCTTACATCTCTTTTCTCCGGGCAAGACAGACATGCACCGGTTATTCAGAATTACTTTTTCCGGCTGAGCTGACATCTTGGTGTGTCCAACATGGCAGTTCAGAGTGGATTTTCTCAAAGCCTCTTTGAAATAATATAAAAAATCAACAATTTCAGGTTTCAAAATAACGAGCAATACAGAATCTACAGGCTTAGTTACAAATAGAAATATAACATACCACCAATATAATCATCAGTGTTAGGTCTCTTCATTTTTTCTTTCAGTTTTCCTAAGCCGTTCGCATAACAACTCCCAATGTCCTTCAGTTCTTGTTGACTTTCTTTATTCCGAAACTGATGATCATGCTTCCCCAACGACTCCTTCACTTTTTTAAAGTACGTATACTCTGAAGTTTTGGGAATACCATCTTCCCTAATATTAACAATTTATGGATTAATATCTATATAGCACAACCAACTGGTGCTTTAGAAGAACTGAGGACTATAATAGATCGATCATATAGACAGATTCAGCAACATTTACAAGTTTATAAAAGCAACAAGAACTTCTTTGAAAAACAAAAGACACCATTTAAGATTGAAGAATATATCTATGATCCCTTGTTGCTTCATATCCAGCTGAAAAATACCTGATCTGTTATTTCGCGCACACTCGCTATCAACATCTGTAAATCTCACTCTTTTTTCCTTGCCTTTACCTAACAGGAAAAGGTGTGGATAAGTAGGTACTACGACTGGGCGGCATATAATTAAAAAGCTTAAATTTACATCAAACCGGTGAATGAGTAGTGGACTAGTGGTCGCGAGCCAAAACTAATTAAAGTACCACAAAATAACAAATAGCACATTCCAAATGAAGAAGTAAATGAATTCAATTGTCTCTAAAAGTAATTTGGTACTGGTTAGGACTACCATGATTTCGTTGTATTGCAAATCCATCCATTTTATCAATTTACAGAGGCGGATAAATTACATGAACTCCACTACAGAAAAATGATGGCAGATTTTCAATCCACTTGTAACGATTCAAGTCTTTTATCTTACCGATTACCAAAATTCCCCTCATTTGGAAAACTGAATAGCAAATCAGCTTTGTCAAACTAGAAAATTACAAACATGATCCTTATGTTCAACTAAAAGAGCCTAACCATAAACCACTTGAGGTATACTCAGACCAATTTGAAGAACTAATTCATTCATTTAGACAATACAGAGTACAGTCAGTCTCACAGGCTATGTTTGAATTTTCATAATCTGAGTAGTTGAGCAAACAATTTTATGATGCGTGAATCCAACGAGAATGGAAATTTCTCGTTCTAAAGAGATTATTAGGCGATTAATTATGACCTTACGCTGCTTGATAGCGATGAAATGGAATGATACGAAACGATCGCAATACCGTATTGATAGTCGGAGTCCTGCTCTCGATTGAAGCCAGGGCTCGAAGAGCGCTGAGCGTGAGAAGGATGTGAACTGAACCTTCGCTTCATCGCCTTCCTTTGATCCAAGCTTGCTCGAGTAGAAGTTGGAGATGAACGTTTTGGAATTTGAAGACTGGTGCTTATAAGGGGGAGAGTGAAGATTTGAGGCGGGACTGAGGGAGGAAGTATTATAAGTCTACGCTGCTAAAGGCCCATAGCTAGTTTGTGTTAGAGATTAAAAAACAAAGTTCTGGGCCCATTACCCAATTCAAACCCGTTAGCACTGGTGTAAAGCAGTTTGGGCCTGGCACAACTTCACAAACCATGAATATTGTACGTAGTACTCCCTCCGTCTCAATTTGATGATATCATATTTCCTTTCTGGGCCGTCCCAAATTGATAATCTCATTTCTCTTTTTGGAAAAAAAGATGTGATCTACATTATTTCACCTTTTTCTACTCAAATCTCAACCACAACTTTTACTTTTTCAACCACTTCCTTAATCTTTGAACCCAAAAGAAATGAGACTCTCATTTTGGGACGGAGGTAGTAATTTTTTTGTAGGTTCTTTGAACTAAAATTCAAAGCTACACAGCCTACACTTGTGTTTAAAAAAAAAAGCTACACTTGAGTCATACTCCGTACTAGTGATGGGTGGGTGGGTAGGTTGAGAAACAGGTTTCATGAAAATAATTTTGAAAAGTTTCATAAATTTCATTTTTCCAACAACTCTGATCTAGCATGAACTCTTATTTTTGGTTTACATGAGTATAAAAATTTCTCACTCTTACATTCGAATGTTCCTCGTGCAATCTATAGCATTCAATTAGTCATCCAATATAATTGTGTTTTCCTCTGTTACTTGATAACATGATTCACTAGACTCTCAACATATAAAAATTATTAGAACGAATGATTGTATCGAAAGATAACTTTTTACAATAATTTGTATTGTGTCATCCATTGTTTGTGACTGAAACATTGAACATATTGTAGGGTGATTCAGATATTGATTTGCAACATGATATAAGTCTCAAACTATAGTATAATCTCGCTTGGTTAGCTAAACATTAACATTTTAAAATGCTATACAACCATTGCTAATTCTATCTATTTCATCTAGAATACGGAGCATTGTTTATCTTTAATTTGTTATTTAGAAACAAAAATGAACCCATAATTTTCTCATCCAATTTTGAAATTATAAAGATGCATGTGATGCATCTAGCAACAGCATTTGTGACTAGGATCAATGACTAAGAATAATAGGTGAATTGAAGGAAATCAGCGTGATTGGAGAAACCATGACATTAGCAATGCTTTCATTTTAACCGGGATCGGCATGTTTGATGTATTTACTTTTCTTCACCGGAGTAAGTATTATTATTTGTATGTTATATATGTTCACACAGTGGATTGTAATTTTTCTATATTTATTGATTAGTTGGTTCCGGTTCATGTCCTGCTAAACAGTGACCCAATTTCACATTTTACCATTGTTTCACATTTTCTATGAAAGTAAATACGAAGTACTTTTTGTTTTATTTATCTTTTATGCATTTTTTGTGTGCAATAGATCAAGTGACATGTTGCTATTTATATTACTTCTGTCCTCCAAAATTTGGGCGACTTTGACTTGCATGTAAATAGTAAAGTAAAAATTACACGGTTGAAATAATAAAATGAAAATTTTATATTTTACTTTAAATAGAATTGACATACTTTTTTGAAACGGCTAATAAGAGAATTTGACAAAATTTTGTGGGGATAAAGAGGGAGTATATATATAATACATGCATGTATACGCTATACCTATGTATAAATATAGTGAATGATATACAAATGGGGTCGACATAGGATATTAATAATTTTTATTGCAATTGATTTCCTTAGAGTTTTGGAACGTAATAGTCAAATTCAGGCGTGTTGGGTTTAACTTATTATTGGAACATTGAGATTTTAGTGAAAGGGAGACAACTAGCTTTCTCCTTTTGTTTATTGGAACATAGATATATTAATTCATTTATTAAATTAGTTAGATTATTTAGTCTGTATAAATCCATTGAGCTTATGGGATAAGAGTTAATTCCCTAAATAGGTCAAAAACGTGACCCAAGAACACAAATAGGATTACATGTTTTTTATCCCCCTAGTAGGACTATTTATGTGTATTTGGACAAATATACCCTTGAGGCTTTTGAAATGTCTTAATTAATAATAAAATCATTAAAAAAAATAAAAACATAAAATAATAATAAAAAACGTCAAAAAATATTTAAAAAAAATATAAAATATTTATAAAAAATAAAGAAAAAATTACAAAATAAAAAAATGTAAAAAAAAAAACGTCGCCGCCTCTGCAACCCCCCAGCATCACCAGGCACCAGCTCCCATAACCGGTTGAAAATCCGGCAACATTTTTAGTAATGCCATAATAATGGTAGATTCAATAAGAATTTTGGGATTATGATGTGTAATAATAATGTCATTTTCTTGACATTTTCATAAAACAATGACATTTTTTACAAAAAAATGTCAGAATTTTCACTGATCAGAGTTATCCATGTTTTTTTTATTTTTTATGGGTTTTTACTATTTTTTATTAATTTGATTTTAAAAAATGAAAACAAATAATCTGCCGACTGCCAACAATTTTAGTAATGCCATAATATAATGGCAGATTCAATGAGAATTTGGTATTATGAAGGGTAATAATGCCATTTTCTTGGCATTTTCGGGAAAAAATTGAATTTTTTATAAAACAGTGGCAGAATATTTACCGATTGAAGGTGATGGTGCTGGGAGGCGGTTGGAAAGGTATCCATATTTTTAAATTTTTTTTATGGATTTTAACTATTTTTTATTACTTTTTTAAAAAAATATTCAAAATATATTAGTTTAAAATTTTTTATTTTAAAAATATTTTTTTATTTTTATTGTTTTTGTAGTATTTTTAAAAAATAGGATTTTTTTAATATTTTTAGGATTTTATTATGAATTATAACATTTCATAATGAAATAATACCCTTAGGGGAGCCGCTAACATTTCCTTCTCATTTTCTTGTGAAGGATCGAGTCATGGGGGCGCAGCTAATACGAGAGAATAATCACGATGTCTACTATGCACCCTATGTCTCTCTACCACAAGCAAATAATACTCAAGTGACGTTCTCACCCAACTGGCATCACACTTTTGGGCATCCCTCTCATCGTGTTTTCACCATTCTAGCTAGTCAAATTAAAAGAGTCTCAAAGTCATCTGTTTGATAATTCTCATTGTAACTCTTGAATTGCTTCATCAATAAAAGTACTAAATTACCGTTTTTTCTAATTCTATGAATGCAAGTCATCCTGTTGAATTAATTTACACTGACGTGTGGAGTACCAACGATCAATCTCTTGATGGTCCTGAATATTATGTGATATTTGTTGATCACTATACTCGATATATATGGTTGTATCCACTCAAAAACAAATATGAGGTGTCTCTCATATTCCAGCAGTTTCACAAACTAGTTGATTTTTAAAAAAAAAAATCCATGATTTCCCCACCCCACCACAGATAATGGTGGTGAATTTATTAAACATAAATCATACCTCAATAGTCATGGTATTAGTCATTTTACTACCCCACCCCATACCCCTGAACATAATGGGATAGCTGAACGTTGACATCGTCATATTGTCGATACTGGCCTTGCACTACTTCACTTTGCGGGTTTACCTATTAAATATTGACCTTATGCATCTCATTAATCGGCTACCCACTCTCATCCTCCAAAATGAGTCACCTTATTTTCGCCTAATAAGACTAGCTAGGCTTATAAGGGAGCATACATAGAATATAATGATAACCTAAACAAGGAGAACTTGTACTTAGATCTAGGGGTGGGCACGGTCCGGTCCGGTCCAATATTTGGCCGAACCCGTACCCGTACCGTTACTATTGAAACGGTTCGGTACGGTTCGGTCTTAGACCCAAACCCGTTCGGTACGGTCCATTTTCAAACGGGACGGTACCATGCCATACCAATACCAAACAATGCCACTTTTTCTAGGTGTTTAAGAAAAAATTAAAGTTTAGCCATCCTCCAAAATATCCACAAAATTTATCAATTTTCATATATCATACTACCTTCGTTCCAAATTGATATGCAAAGTCAATCTTTTTTGGTCAAACAATTTCTTTTTATTCACTTAACTAGAATTTCACTTTTTAATTATATTCTAATTTGGCCATTCAAAAAAACTACTCCGTACTTTGTATATTTTAATTTTTATTTTGCAACTTTAGAGAGATTTTAATGTGGTTTCTAAATATGTAACTTTTAATTATTATAAATTGTATTAATTATCAAGAACTTAACATTAACTTTGACAAAAAAAATGTTGGCTTTGCAAATCAGTTTGGGACGGATGAGGTAATTAATATATTTTAGATAAACTACAGTAGTACAAATTTAATAAACCATACTTCGGTCCGGTTCGGTCCGGTACCGGTTCTCATTTTATGAGAACCGGTCATGACATTGTTTGGAACCGGTTCGGTCTGGTTCGAGACAAAAAATTTTGAGATCCGTTTCAAACCCCGTTTATCGGTCCGGTACCATACCGGTCCGGTTCGGTATCATGCCGGTTCGGTATTTTTGCCCACCCCTACTTAGATCAGTGAGATCAGTGATCCGACGTTTTAGAAGCATATATTAGTTGCACACTAGCGCCTAATTAATGGTCCTACTTCTGAAACAATTGGAACACGTCTAATAAGTCCTCCATAAAGAAAGGTCTGACATAGAACATTGTTAATGTTTAGAGCTTGAGAATCAAGGAAGAAGAAGAACAATTTGTATATTCAGAGCATGTGTGCGGAAGAAGAATACAATGAATTAGTTCAGATACCTAATTTACAACTGTTTAGTCAAATATATACCAAGTGCTAAAGGGCCTGATAAAATATAAATAGAATACAAAATAGGCCCAGGAACTAATAAGAAGTCCATGTAATAATAATTTCCAAAGTCCAGAGCTTTTATTCTTGATACGCCCCCTCAAGAGGAGCATGAATGTCCATCATGTTCATCGTGACTGCAAATTGCTTGAACAATGGATTTCCAAGTGGCTTAGTATATATATCTGCAAGTTGAAAATCA